GATTTTGCATCGACATCGCGGCAAGTTAAACGATTTTTTTTCATTCTTTTTTTTTTTTCTACAACCGATAACGACACGCGCGTTTATCGTGATCCGCTAAGGATATTACATGCCTACGTATTATTATTTTTATTATATTCTACGATATGCGTGATGTCACATGACCGCAGCTGCAAAAGTATACAGTTGACTATTGCGCGTGGAACATAACGTCACCGATGCGGTTATACGACCACGACCTGGGTATACATATTATATATACGATGTAAGTAATAATATAAGTCTCACTATATAATAAAATGTGTATATATGCTTATGAGACATCCAAGATGACGCCGATAATATTGCGCGTAACTTCATTATTATGTTAACCCTGCATATATTATAATATGTGTATAGAATAATATCATTGTGCATGCTACTTATACCAATAGCACGTGCAGTGTAAATACCGCAAAGGTGTTCGGAGCAACCAAGATTGTGACGTTCTCGCGGGTCCGTTAAGTATCCTGTTAAACCAACTGTAACCAGCAAGGTAACCACCGAAAAGACATTTATAAATAGCGATGATAATATATTGATAGTTAACCACGAGAATATCGTACGCGTCATCGTCGAAGCGGGATGTAAGCGCAGGTTAATTAAAATTTTGACAGTGGAAAAGTCGTAGCGAAAGTTCGTTAGCTTAATATTATTCTACGGGTGATTCAACTGGTTGCGGTCGCAATATTAAAAACCGATTTCAAGATGCTGTGTAAAGTTTAACTGTTTAAATGAAGGTGATCATAAAATATTTGAATTAATTTATTTTTATAAACTTCAATTGTATTTACAATATGTAGATTCCTTAATCCATTTTTTATGTTTAGCCTAAATATTTCAACTTTCGTCACGACTTATTTTGTTGATAAGTACTTAAAAAATTGAGAAAGAAATGTAAAACATAATATCTACTGAAAATAGGAAAAAATGGGAACAATTATTGGGTATAAGCATCAAATCATAAAACTCTTGAATAAATTAAATGATTAATATATTTTATTAGATAATAACAGTATAGGTAATTAGAAAATTAAAAAAAAAAACAATTACTTTATAATATTGCACTCATAAACCAAAATAAAATGATTAACTTATTGTTTTTTCCTTCATAAATTAATCTTTGTCTTCCTAAAACCAGTACAAATTCACACTCCCATAATCAAAGTATGTAAGGTTAAATAACCTATGTCGATTTTAAGGTAAAAAAGCGTTTCCATTCTCAATGGGGTAATGAAAAAAATGGAAGGGTCAAATTGTATTTTTCATCTGTATTAAATGGATAATCTGCACTAGGATAAAAAACAGGTAATAATTTTATTGCATTCGTTCAAAAATGAGTTTCGACAAAGACGAGTATTTCGAAAAATAAATTTGATTTAAACATAAAAAAGATTACTATAATCTTATTTACAAATTATGTGATACTTTTTAATAGAAATAATATTTACTGGTATGCAAACCAGTACCAGAAAATATTTGTTAAATTATACGGGTATGGGTTTGTTCAAAAATCAATTATCAGGTTCTTTAAGAATTCAGTTTGTTGTAATAACTACAAAAAAAAAAAAAAAAAACAAAACAAAACAAAAAATGAAAAGTACGAAAAACGCTTTAAAAAAAGCGTATGTCACATTTATAACATATAAATATATTAATATAATTATTTAAATGAAAAAAAATTATTTTGAACCACGCCAATGATTAAAATCATTGTTATTGATCCTATTTCTGTAAGTAGGAAGAGCAATAAGTGTTTCCATAATGTTTTCTCAAACGCATAACATTTTTGTTGAAACACCATTTTTGAACTCGAGTCCAGTCACACCATTGCCTTTATTTAATCCAAGTGCAGTTCAACCGGCCATATCCCAAGTACACAAGCTAAAAAGGTTGACTTTCTTTTTGCACGCATACGCATATAACGCTATAAACGTATAGCTAATATATAACGAAAATTAAATCGGTACATCATATAAATACGTAAATAATATACGTATTGTAAAATCCGACCTCTGCAAACGATATGCGCACGTTACGATTATTATTATTATATTAAATATTTTAATTTAGGCACAGCACACGACATGTATCATCATATACATATTATTATGGTTTTGCATATTATTATAGTTAGATATTAAACGCTTATACATAGGTACGTGCGAACGAGCCCGTCGTCGTCGTTGTGAGAGGATATTATCATAATATAGGTAGGTACTGAGAAAATCGGTATGGTGATCATAATATCGTATGTGTATGTATTACCATACTTTGCACGAATGATAATAATAATTATACGACTGCAGGTTAGCTCGGTGTTCCGTTTTCGGAGGAGGTATATAATATTATTATTATAATAATCGTCGTGTTGTACATATCTACTTTAATGGTTTTTTTTTCTCTACTCCCGAGACGTATCCGTCAATTCAGCGGTGTAACGTCAACACATGTTTATGCTGCTGCCGACAAACATACCTGTATATTTTATCAATACAATTTAATATATTATAATATTATGAAATACTACGCACCTTGTACATAATATGTGTATGCTCATCATCCGATACAAAACGAGATTGAAAATATTATTATAACACTGATGGACGTGACGATTCTAGCGTGTAAACCGCGCATAATATTATTTATTATTATAATATCTGTTTTTTCACTCCGCTGATACCGCAACAGTTAGCGAGAATACATCATAATATACCCGCAATATTCATATCCGTCTATACGATATAATAATAATTATTATTATTATTATTATTATGATTATTTAATATAAAGTGTGTCCGCGGTACGTGCGAATAATCTAATTTCCCCCCTCCCCTCGGTAAATTTCTTGCGGACCCAACGATGCATACAGGTGGTTTCATGTTTTGCACTTAGTAACGACGCGCGACGGCGGTGATGGTCGTGTGGATGTATATTTTTCTCGTGTCAAACATAACACATAAATATATATTATAATTTTCTGTATTCTTCGGTCACGCGCACTCCGCAATATCTACGTCATAAATGAAGCACCTATATATATATATATATATATATTTACATGCTATATATTATTATGTATAAATCTATATAATATTATGTGTCTAATTTCATATTTTTTTAATTTTAATTTTTTTTTTTTCATGTGTTTTATTATAATATACACGTTTTGCGTTAAAACGCAAATGAAAATTTCCGTATTTGTCGTGTTTAACGCAAATATACCGTTAGGCCAGTCATAATATATCATATCTGTTTTGTAATTAAAACGAAACCGTCGCTTTATGATTCATGTACGCAACATAATATTGTATATATTATGTGTGTTTGATCATATGCGTATATGTATGAGGTACCTATATACCTACCCACCTGTGTATATATTATGTATCCTTCATATACCTTATACCTATATAATAGTAGGAATTTGCCTAATCGTGTGATATTGAAAACGTAAACTACTACGAACGACCTACCAACTTTACCTGTCCTATTTGCCCTGTATATGTACGCTACAGAGTCCTCAGTAAAATACATAATATTATACCTAGGTATATAAAGTACCTGTACATATTATTTCATCATGAATCGTAATGTTCTCGATTCATCACGTAGTATAACACGCAAATACATAATATAGTAGGTACACACATGAGTTGTAATAATAATTGATAGTACCTACGAGTATATACATAATATATATAGAGTAATTTATCACGATCGTAATTTAACTTTTCACCAAACACTATTATAATAATTTATAGGTCACCTAAAATATAAATATTAGACCACCCACTCAGCTGATATAATATATATATATGAGACTTTATAGTGACCATACTGTATACATATTGTTGTATTATGATTTATTGGGTAAATGCCAAACAACGTTTATACGTCATCTACTCTAAAAAACATGTATTTTACACTATACATAATATTTGGGTCGAAAATTAAATGTATTTTAGATCAGTCAAATATAAATTATTCAAACAAAAAAAAAAACTGCAATAAATGTCACGAGTTTGTCATAAATTATAATACTTTATTTTTAATCCACATATTAAATATTCCTTGCATATCTTAAATACTTTTGACCGAATTTATTGAAATTCAGATTACGAAAAAAATATTTATCAGCGATTTTAATGGTATGTATATTATGTAAACAAAGTTTAAGGACTCCGAGTTTTTTTTTATTTAATTTAATAAAATATGTAGTAAAATGTCTAAAAAATATGTAAATGGCATCAGAGATTTGTCACACACACACGTGAAGTTGGAAATAGATCCCGACTACGATTTAATTAATTTTATGATTTAAGAATAAACGTCCATCTGCGTAGGTACCTAAGCTAACCTACATTTTAATGAAATTTTATGAAGCGCTATGTTTTCGGTTTTTGATCCTTGTCTCTTATGACTGCAAGGGCAGAAGAATATCATAATCATTCACCAAATGCAGCCTCTTGTATCGCACTGCAAGTCCATTAATCAACTGGCTTCGAGAAATAAATTCAATTATTTCTCGTCCATTTGTTGTGTTCACCAACACTAGTGGCGAACTAACATCATACCAAACATAACACAATAGCATTGTGTGGTGTATATGAAAATATTTACTGCTATTTACCATCCCGTAACCCGAGGGCTGCCAAATGAACTTGGGCTTCTGTTTGATTAATTTTTTTTCATATTTTATACACTTATTAAGAGCGTTTGTAATCTTTAAATAACTATTTAGTTTATATGCGCATTATATATCTTAAGAGATAATTTTTCTTTTCCTCCAATGTATTTATTGTATCACTTGTATAAGCTATGTAGTGATACGTAAAAACATATGAAAAACTGATGAATAAAATAGTTTTTAGTCACGTTTTTATATTATAATCAACAATTCATTTTTACCTAATATGAATGTCTTCAAGTTTTATAATATTATTTATTTTATTTTACAGGAAGTGCTATCAATATTGTTTCAATTATTCGATAAAGACAACGAAAAAGTACTCTTACAAGAACAATGGATACAATCATTAAAAGAGAGATTACTGTGAGTATATTTTACTTTAAAATGTAAGATATAATAAAAGTGCTCTATTAGCAATGAAAATGTGTTTTTTTTTTTTAATTTAAAAGTGTAATAAATTCACTTCATATGAATTAAAATTCTATCTAAACAGGTGTTATTATTTGTTTTCTTCTACGTGTTTTCTTTAAATTTAAATTAAATAAATTATTTTTTATGTCTATATCAAATATTTCTTAATTTTATAGGGTCATATTATTTATTTTTATACTTCACGAAATTATTTACAAGTATCTATAAAATATTACGTATAATAAGTGCTATATTTAAAATAGAACAAAATATAAATTAGAACAAATTTAAAGGTTACAATCATAACTTGCGAAATAACTCGTACTATTGGATATGGCAAACACTTTTAAACTTTATTTTTATTTTTTTCTGTCGTGTTTTCTAATAATATGTCAAATCTAATTAAAATATTTATATTTAAAGGATAAAATTAACCGGTTGTAATGAAAATATATATTAAATCAAAAGCGACGTCATCTTGTATCCATATAAAGTATTAATATGTACTTAAAACAAGGATTAAAAAATAAACGGACATTAAACATGGGTGGGTAATTGCATATTTTGTGTATACAACATATTTATATCCATCTTTAATGTTAAAATCTATCTTATAAAAAGCTTTTAAAGTATATTTATTAGGTACTAAAGTGAATCGCACAGTTTGAGATAAATACCACTTTAATAAAATTAGTAGTGAAGCACTGTTCAGAATTAACGCATAAAATTAAGATCAACTATTTTATTACATAACCTTATAAACTACATTCAAGTCTTGAAATACTCGCACAATTCGTACCAGAAATATTTCTCAATTGATAACAATATTTAATTGCAATGTATGTTATGCTATGTAACTAAAATTCAAACTAACGATTTCAAAATGTACGTTGTTAATATAGAATTAAATCGTGTTTAATAAACAAATTATACGTTATTTGTTGAAACATTTAATTTGTAATTAAAATAAACATTTCGAATTTTAATTTTTAATTTCTAAAAATTAAAATAATTATTTACATAATGAACTTCCAAGAATTTATTTATTTATTTTAATACGACATTTATTATAATTTAATTTTAAATTTTAATAATAATTTTTGATATATTTCTGGAATAAAATCATAAAATTTAATAACCTAAAATGATTATTTCAATTTGAGCAGATATTATATAAAATTTTTAATACATTAAAATTAGGTTAAGAACAGAGATTAAATACAATGCTTACTATAAAATAAGTCTTTTGAATCAATATACTATCAAGTGCAATTATAAATCTATCAAAATACAAGAAATACTAATTATAAATTTCTGAGAAAAAAATATATTTTAAGTAAATCATTTTTTAGCTCATAAAACAACATTTGTTATATGCTAGTATCCATTAAAGGAAGTGTATTTAATTTTTATATTGTATTTTAAAAATGTGTTAAATAATGACATTAAACAAATTATGTTTATTTTACATTATAGGTAGGTTATACTTTGTACATAAATAATTGTACAACGAACCGCAGATGGTTTGTTACTTGTAAGTTCCACGCGATTAATATAGTGCATATTATCATTGCTCTAATCACGCATAAGTAGCAATCTCGTAAGTCTTAATGTAATGAAAGAAATGTAAATTTTAAATCCAATTAAATTAATTAGAAATATGTATCGTTTAATACCTGCATGTATATTTTGCAATTATACGGAATCCGCAGTTAATTAAAACAGATGTAACTGGTAACTGAGGCTGATGGAGTTGCGTGGTCGTAGATATTTCTTTTTTGCATTTTATTGGTAGTTTTTTTTTGTTATTTCTTTCACTGTTCAGTTTATACTGTACACGCTAGGCTCGATGCCAGTTCCTGTTGAAATTAATGTATTTTGTACGGAAATCAGACAACACGAGTCAACGATATTTGCATAGTAATTAATTGTTGTAGCAAAGGAAAACAATATTGTTTGAATCTTAGTCAATGTAAAAACTTCAAAGTTTTAATGAGAGAATCAATAAGTACGAGAAAAAATTTACAATTTTATTTATAAACCTTCAACAGTCTACTCTAATATATTGATTTTGCTTTAAATTGACAATTATATAAAGTCATTGACATTTGTAAAATTATTTAAATATTAGGTATATGTTATCACTTTGTAAAATTAAATCGAGTTTATGATTATTATACTGTAAAGCGATTGCCCGAATTTACCAAAAATATTTAGGCTAATGAAATTAACATTTGTAAAACTTTCTATTGCATTTTATTTTTGTATTTCAACTCAAAAATACTTAATGTAAACAAGGAAGTCGTCATAACATGAATTTCGTATTATTCGTAAGAAGAAAAAAATATTTAATTAGGTATCTAGATACTTTCTTTTACTTTTATGAATATCTAGTGAAAATTAATTAATCACAATAATACAACCATATCAAATGAAATGTACTTATTTTAGGAAAGCTGCATGTAAGCGAACCGTTGTTAACATGCTTTACAACTAATCATACTAATCAAACTACTTTGATTTGCGTCCAAGACTAAGACTACTGTGTGATGTTTCCCACGGCATTTATCGTATGTACCACAAGCTGTTTTCAAGATCAAATTCTCCGATAATCGTGTCGCGAACCATTGCTTAGCAGGTGGTTTTATTTATTTATTTATTTTTTTCACTTTGGAGTACATAATTTTTTTTCTGAATAACAGTTATAAAATAATTGCAAATGTTTTTCCTAGCACAACTTAATAAATATTATTTAAAGTAATTAGTGTTGACCAAGTAACATAATATACATTTAACAGACATATTTATAAAAATATTGGTATAACATTAATTTATGATACATTAACTAGAAATGTTTCGATATATTAAACTATTCATAATAAACTTCAATAGTAGGTACTTAAAGTTCGTTTTATGAATGTAGATTTTTAATTTTATTAAACAAGAATTAAGATGCTATTCATGATCCATCTATATTAATAATTTCCATTTGTAAAAGTAGTAATACTGTTTTAAATGTAATTGTAAAATTAATTGAAGAATAAAATACCAAAATTAAAAATATACTTTCCAGAATTATTTTTCGATAATAATACATATTATAGACACCAACAAATAATTATTTATATACAAGTTTGTATGAACATAATCTAAAAACAAAACTATGTATTATCATATATACATAGATAAATATAATTCATTTGATTCCAACTAAACAATGTTATATAATTTTATATGAAATTAAAAAGTTATAAAAATCGATTCGGATAAAAAATTAATATTATCAGCTATATTTTGTGGTTTCCGGCATTAAAGTCTCCACTGAACAAGGCTATTGCCTAATAGTGATTTAAATATTTTATTTCATTACATATATTTTTTAATATTAACATCTTTTACGATAATATCTATTGTGCCAAACCGATGATCTTAAAAAGTTTCTAAATTACGTGTCAACTATAATAAAATATATTTCCGAGACTGCAGCATAACTATATACCCAAGTAATTTTTTAACAGTATACCTATAATACCTATGCACGCGAACTAGCGGTAATCGTTTGAACAAATGCAGTTACACGTATAATTCTCTTACCATATTATAATATTTTATTATATATATATATATATAATATGTTTATCTTTTAATTATTATTCGCCCTAATTAGTCGTTATCACGATGATTTCAAATACGACTGGCTGCAGCGACGTGGGTCGAACCGGTTGGCGGTTTATATTGATCACTGTCCAACAGTTTCCGTAATGTGCCTATTAATCTGCAGTTGAAATATTCAGTAGCCGGACTCCGGCAAAAGGTGCGTTGAGTAGAAAGTGAAAAAAAAATAAAACTCATATTATATAGGATTTGATTTTACGTATTTATCCGAAGCGCGAGAACTTGTTGTAACCATTAATAAAAATCTTATAAATCATCTCCTATGGTCCCAACTGCAGTGTATGTATAAAACACATAGATATAACACTGTACAGTGAGTCAGCAAATTCGATACGCAAAAAAAAAAGCAATGATAATAACTGTACGATAATACTATGTAATACTTAACATTTTAAAAATCTGTTTATCTTCAAAGCATGGTGTTTGCCTATAAGTTATATACTTCAAAATAGCAACGATAATAAAGATAATTAATACAAACCGTTTACATTTTTTGAACGTTATACCGACTAAATTTGAAGAAATGCGTAAAAAATAATATTATGCGTATCGTGTATTATTCTGCCTATAGTATCTTTAATATAATAATTATATTATATTATTCCTAGTCTAAAATGATTACTAATTGACACAGAATTGCGTGGAGATCCGTATAAACACTTAAATTTTACCGGTTTGTCTTATTCTCGAGATTATTTTAATAATATGCCTATACTTTGAAATGGCGTGTCGGACAACACTATATTCTCATCGGCCGTGCCCCGTATTAACACGAGAGTCCGTAAACAACAATAATAATATGACACCTCAGACTTACGGCACATGGTGCTCATGTCAAAACAGGTTTCTTTTGTTTTAGAATTAAGGAGAAAATAAAAAAAAAATGAAAAAAAAAAATACGAGAGCACGCCTTATCCCGCTTCTGATCTGGTCAGGTCGGAAACTCGCGGCATCCAACGCCCGGGCCGGTGTGTGTAATGTGCACATGGAGTATAACTTCCACCGGTTGTGTGGCAATCGACTGTAGTTATAATACTTCGCGCTGCAGCAATCGCAGCGGTGCTCTTTATTGAGAAACCACTAGTCTTCCTGTGCAATGTTTCCTATAAATACACATGCTCGTGTTTTTATATACGAAAATGATGTTGATTTTGAGGATTATTGCTCAACTTGACGTAATGAAGTCTCTACAAAAGACAATAGAAATCACAAAAAAAAAATTGTATGACGTTCTATAAAAAATGTTTTTTTTTTAGATACTTCACAATTTTATTGGTTTGTACATACAACATATTTTTTACACAAGTAGAATATTACAATATAAGATTTAGTCTAACTATGATTCCGCGACAGATGATTAACATTTATTGGGTGTTTTCTGTACTCATAGAAACTTTAAATATAATAATTATATTAAAACCTTTTGTATAATTACAACGATTGCAATGATTTGAGGTGGACTATAAATAATGAATAAACGCGTATTATAACCAAACTGATTTTTGGCCACAAATATAACGATTTAAGTATATTATATATTTTGTTATCATTTCGTTCGAATATCCTTCATTTAGAACATTTTTTAGGTACACTGTAAAATATTTTATTCGTATAATAGTTATCGAAATAATGACGAGAGTATACAGTTACTCCTACTTTTTTTTCTGGGTCGTAAATACATTTTGAACTTGGATAATTTTACTATGTTCAATTCTGAAAAATCTTAGATCAATAAGAATCTGCTGCAATAAAAATAAAAACCCAATAAAACTAAGACGGGTTTACATTATATAATGCCTCCTAAATATAATTCTTCCTGATGATGTAATGATATATATTATAAGCTATAACATATTACCTACCAATGTACTGGTAACTGGTACACTAAATTATTTTATCTAAACGTATAATATTTTCAACAGGGAAGAAAAACAAGGAGATTTAGCTGAACAGTTAGAAAGTGTGGCTTACGTACTCTGTGGTGATCAACCTATAAGCTTACAAAAGTTTTATCAGATATTTCAAGCAAAAGGCGTAAGTACAATGCAGTTACATATTAAAACAAAGTAATTGATAAGGTTGACATAGTGTTTTTTTATACTCTTAAATTACTATATCACAACACAAGTTATCAACAAATTAATAAGAATACGTAATTTTTGGAAAAAATAATCATAGTATTTATTTTTGCTAATAAAAAATCCAATCATTATTCACGACAAAAAATAACTAGTCTTATGTGAGTAAAAAAAAAACCACGAAATTTAAATAAAAAATATATTTAAAGATAAATTGGCTTAAATGATAACCATTAATTGTTAAGATTTTTAAATAATAAGTTTTATGCTATTCGATATAACTATATAGATATACGAGTATACTTACTTTAAATATGCATAAGACATTGTACCTAATAATTATGTAGGTACTAGGTATAGGTACTACGCATATTATTATGTTTTGTATTGTTGTTTGATGTATCGTCCATTACAACAAGCTTTCACCGAATCTCCAGTTACATTAAAATATTAAATATTAATATATCGTAATAATACAAATGTCCCTTATGTATTGACCGCCGCTCATTTAATAGTATATCATAAATTATAATATAAAATAATAAGCTACGTATAACTATTGTATAGTAAATAATAATAATAAAAAAAATATTGCATAATAATTTTATTAAAAAAAAAATATCATGCTCCGACTAATAATGAAATTAATTAATTCAATTTTTTATAGGTTAAATATGAATAAATACTTTTACTTCATATTATCAAGTAATACACAATATCCAATAACGTTTAAGTCATAACATGAGAGAGAGGAGTGTTGGGAGTTTGTATGTACGTACCCAGAACTAAAAAAATATATATGTATACAAAAGTATTATACGATATAAACATACCAACCTAGTATATCACTCATAGCTTGTTATCCATAATATACGACGTAACACTGCATAATATTATTTTAATAAGTTGTGACATACAACACGCGTATTCAGATAAAAATCTTCCTCCTGAAAAAAATGACCACGAATATGAAATCATCGTATATCTTTCGTACCCCATGTATACATTTTTCGAACTAGGTTTATAAAATTGTTTTAAAATCGGTGTGTTTTCGACGAGGGACCAGACACGAATAGGTACATATTATTATTAAAATACTATCTTAATCCGTTGAACACAATATTATTTGTTAAGCGCCCATAAATCTTAAATTTTAAATTATCTAATGACATACATAACATAATAACATAATATTATACGTACACATACCTACATAATATTATTATTAAAAAGTAAAAGTGTTTTTTTTTTTGTTTTTGCATTTTTATACTATAGGTATTATTGTTATGACTGATATTGATAGGTTATTTACTTATATATATATATATATATATATATAATATACTTAATACTTTTATGTATAAAGTAATATTCCAGCGTATCGTGTACAACACTGTATGCGTAATATGTATATGTATTATATTATTATGTTTATAAGATATTGTTCGATAAGAAAATTGATAGTGACCGTGACTGCAGACACATGCCAATATATAATTGTCGTGTGTCAGAACGGCGGTGTCGAGCACGAAAAACGACATTGTCGTACACGATCGTATCGTAGTTGTCCGGTGCTATACGGCCGATGGGTTTTTTTTATTTTTTTATTATTCTCGTTATTAGGGCCCACCCATTCTGCAGGACATGTTCGGTCTTACAAATAAGTTATGCGCATACAACTACTGCAGTACGGGGCGTGCAACCACACGTATGACCATACGTACATATGCGACGCGTGTTCAATCATGAATATTATTATTACGAGTAATTAAAAATTAAAATAAAAAAACAATTGGGTCAAATAAATATGTGTTTTGTGGTGTTACGACATGTTTTAAACGAGTTAACGAAAAAAAATAAATATATATATATAAAATAAAATAATCGTATTATGAATTTTACGATACGATCATAATAAATTTTAAATACCTACCTACCTATTAAGATCGTTAGCAAGAATGCCCATATTATGTGTATAATACCAGTGCAAATTGATCAGACATTAATCGTTCGTGTTTCTCAGTTATAATAATAATATTGTCATAAATATACTTAACGGTATAAAACGCCAAACACGAAGTTCGAAATCCGAGTCGTTTTTATTTATATGAACGTCTATCAATATTCTGGAGGCAAAATTATTATTTTTAATCTTGTAGGTTTTTTTTAATCATATTTCATATTAAGTGCAAATTACTTTTTTTTACTGACTGACGTTTTGTCATAATTTATTATACCAATTTAAGTTATTTTTTTATGAATATATAGTTGCTGTACAAAACGTAGTTATTTAATAAAAACTTGTTGGTTATTAAGTATTAAACTATCAAACAACCCTTGTTTAAGACACGGGTACATTTTTATTAATTCAAAACTATTTATTAGATTCAAAATGTTTATATTTCAAAGATATAAAATTATTTTTTTTTTTTTTAAATAACTAAAATCGCTTACACATTTTTAATTTAAATAAATCATCGTTTTATGTAAATCATTATCCTACAAATCATAAAGTATTCGTGTTGCTATAATTAATTTGTATTTAATATGATTATCTCCTCTCCCCTTCTCTCACAACAACTTCACTAAGAATTATCGATAAAAATAAAAACTGTATAAAAATATTACCTAGTATTATTTTATGTTTGCTATATATTTACAAGATTAAGTCACATTATGGATAATTATGTATAAAATTAGACATATAAATGTACTTAACATTTTCTTCTGATCGTTACTTATTGTTGAATAAGAACTATATAAAAAATATAATCGTTTAATTTGAACTCGTATATTATAATATGTGTAACATTACGGCCACATCAAAAAAAACATGTCTGCATGTTATTTACAACAGATTATTTAAATTGTAACGTTATAAAAAAAAAACACGGATTCATATAATACAAAGAAATAGAATAATAATAATGATAAATAATAGTTTCTGTAAAATTAAATCCCATTTAATGTTAATAATAGTAGTTTATTCAAACTATCTTGAATTTGATTGTGATAATAATAGTATTAAATATTTTATTCGCTTTTTACTAAATCGTACTGCGTTTTGGGTGTAGCAGCATTTTTGTGCAACGCTCGCATTGTTCTACGCATAGTCTGTTGATGAGGTACATTGTGTAAGTATGGTCTGGTTTACTATATAATAACTATTACTATTATTATCGCAGTACGCGTGAAAACGCTTGTGTGCTTTTGAGAAACTGCGTCGCGTGCTGCTCGCGCCCGACTCTGAAATTTATTGCAACGATCGACCGGCAAAGATAAAGACGTAACTACCACGAGTTAAGATTTTTTTATATGATATATCATGAATATATATATTTATAGGTAGACATACATATATGTGTGAGTAGAGTATAATATATGTTCACTGCGACAATCCAACGAGTTTGATTATTTATGATCTTTATAGACGAGCGCGTTTACCTATGCCATACCACTTGTAAACGCGAATCAAATGAAAATAATGGATTACAAAACGAGACCCAATTTAATATTATATACCGTAGAATTTATTGTAGAAAGGCGTTTTACTGGAGGGCTTAATGAGACAAAATTGGAGAAACAAAACATCAAAGTAATTTTATATTATATTCAACGGATAAAGCTATTATATCACCTTATTACCTTATATAGTTAATAAATAATAGAAATATAATAATTATGTGATGTAGGTACAGTAGTATACCAACCTATATAGATCTAAAGTTAACATATTTTGTAAAAAATTATTATTTATTGACAATTATAGTTATTTCATGAATTTTACCGCTAAAACGATAGATGACAATAAATAATAAAAGAGCAAAAATGAATTATTAAAATATACGTAAGTACGTATATTACTTATATTAATTAATATAGTGAGAGTAATTAATGATTATTAAATTATGCGTTAGTGTAGTTCTCTCTTTAATCATTTATTTTATATTTGTTATTTTCGATGCAGGCGTCTAATTATGTTTTCGTAATAGCAAAATAATTGTATACATTTGTACATCAATTATTGATGTAACCATACGAAAATAAATAGATAAATGACTGTTTAAATCAGATATTTGAATTTGATCATTAGCAATGGTATTGAGTTTACTTTTATAAATGAGTGAAGTTTAATACCAAATTATTAATTTAAGACATTGTTTTGACCACGATAGGTACTGACCTCACTAACTTTTACTCACTAAACGACCCTTAATATTCGAACTTGAAACTATTTTTATGTTTTTATATTTAATAGTAGGGACAATTATGTAATGTCATAAGACTGACAAATCACATCATAATGTAAATAAGTATGTTTCATCATTCCTATAACCTACAAAAGCAATTATTTTTAGATTTTTGTTTGCACCCATTCACGTTAAACACTTGATTTCTTACCAAACTACTATTTGAGAGCTGCAGGCAATATTTCTTGACCAATTAAAAATATGCCCAGCAGATTATATGAAAAAGGAAAGGCAAAATTTGTACAGTAATTGTTTAAAATGTATTCATAAAATTAGTTTATTTTCTATTTTTTGTTTGGTATTGAATCGTTCTTGCCGTTTTGTTTTACACGCAATTAATCATTTATAGAAAAATATTCTGTTCATTTTTAAGTACAACATAACACCACTTTTACTGAATTGTATTAGATATAATTATAAAATATACACGGCATTTGTATGTTTTTCACACTTTAAAAATTAATACCATTAATTTATCCACGAACCTATTTAAAATTAGTTACAGGTTCTAAAAAAATAATTTCACAGGAACCAACGTCCAACATACTACATTGAATACATTTAATATGTGCATGTAAATATTTCATGGGTATTAGAAAACAGATTGCCTCTTCTATAGGCCGTAACTTGTATATCGATATAATATTTAAAGGAAAAATAAATACTTTTTATATTATTTATTCTAGTAGAAAGTATTAGTTAATAA